GAATGTTTGATCCCAGCCTTTGACCAGGAGTGGGAAGTGCATCCAGCTGCTTTCCCGAGGGTTTTTTGCGGTACAAACTCCACTGGACAAAAATTGTCCTTAAAGCTCGTGGCTCTTTCCTGTTTTGTTTTTTTTTTTTTTAATTTTTTAATTAATTTTTTTAATGGACAAACTGGTGCTGGGAGAGTCTTTTTCCCGTTTGGAACTCCTCTTTTGGAATTTCTACACCTTAAACCAGAAAAATCTTGTCTTTTTAGAGAAATAACAGGACCTTTCCACCGTGTCCATCAGGTTGGTTGACATTGGATTCTAATATTTCTAATTTTTTCATCTCCTTTCCCAATTTTCCCCCCTTTCCTGTAGTTTTTTAACTCGCTTCCAAAACCACTGTTGGATTTTCCTCCCAACACTCGAGTGGTCTCCAAAACCCCCTTTTTTCTTCTTTTTTTTGGCCCCAACCTGGAAATCCAACTGGGAAAGTTTTCCCTCATCCACCTGCCCAGAGCTTGTCCGTGTCCTTATATAGGAACCTCTTAATTGGGCACTAATTAATTGGAGGCTGCTCCCTCCTTTTTCCAGCCAGGATGCTCTTCCCAGGTTTGTTTTTTTTTTAGCACAGGGGGGAGACTTGGTGGCAGCAGGGAAGAGGGTTGGGGACACTTTTGTCACTGTGGCCGTGCCCCCGTGGGGCCACCGGAATTCCCTGTCGGAGTCGGAGCTTTTCTCAACTTGTCTTCCGAGGATTATTTTTATTGTTTAAAAAAAAAAAAACAACAAACAAAACAAAAACAAAACAGAAAAAAAAAAAAGAGGAAAAGGAAAAAAAAAACCGGAAAAGAGAAATGTGAAATGTAATTTTTACGAAGCGGCGAGAAACGAAATATATTTTATAAGAAATAAAAGGAAAAAAGTCGCCCGAAAACTCGGTGGCTCTGTGGTGTCCTTGGAGCCCAGGGCGTGGTGGGAAGGAGGAGGGGGGTTTCCCTGTCCCTAATCCAGAGGTGGGGACACTTTTCCTGCCACTCGTGCTCGTCCCAGAGATGTTTTTTCCCTCCGTCCCTGCGTGGAATTTAAGGATGCGGTTGGCACAACCCTTCCTGGCACCACTAGAGAGCGTCGTGTGCCCGCCGACGGCCCCGCCGCTCCACATCCCGTCTTTTCATCAAGTTTTTAACTTGATTTTAAACCGATTTCATCAAGTTTTTAACGTGGAACCCCAGAATTAGTCAGGTTGGGGAAGAGCTTCGAAATCATCGAGTCCAACCTGTGGCCGATCCCCCACCTCGGCACCGAGTGCCACATCCTTGGACACCTCCAGGGATTTGGGACTCCACCACCTGCCCTGGGCAGCCCATTCCAAGGTCTGACCACCCTTTCCATGCGGGAATTGTTCCCAATATCCCACCTGACCCTCCCCTGGCACAACTTGAGGCCGTTTCCCCTCATCCTGTCCCTTATTCCCTGGGAGCAGAGCCCGATACCCACCCGGCTCCTCCCTCCTGTCAGGGAGTTGTGGGGCGGGAAAAAATCCTTCCTGATCCCTCTTTTCTCCGGGATGAGCCCCTCCCCAGCTCCCTCAGATATTCCTGCTGCTCCAGCCCCTTCCCCAGCTCCCTTCCCTTCCCAGCCCCTCCATGTGTCCCTTGTTGGGAGTGTCCCAGAGCTGCCCCCATCCCTGGAGGTGCCCCAGCAGTGCCAGCACAGGGGGACAATCCCTTCCCTGCTCCCGCTGCCACACCAGGGCTGGCACAGCCCTTGGCCTCCTTGCCCACCTGGGCTCGTGTCCAGCTCCTCCAGGGCCTTTCCCATCTTTCCAGCCACTCTTCCCCCGGCCTGGAACATTCCACGGGGATGCGGTGACCCCACGTGCAATTCCCGGCACGTGGCCTTGTTGCCCCTCGCTCCATTGGCCTTGGCCCATCAATCCCATGGATCCAACCTGTCCAGATCCTTCACCCTGATCTCCAGCAGATCCACATCCCACCCAACTCGCTGCCACCTCTGCCTGAGGGTGCCTCGATCCCAGATCATCCGTGAAGATTAAACGGGATCATTCCCAGCACTGAGCCCTGAGGAACCACCCAGCTGGAAGTGGCACCATTCCCTGTCACTCCCAGGTCCTGCCACCCTCTCCAGGAGAATTCCATGGGGGACAGCATCCCGAAAAAGGCGCCAAAGCTGCAGGGAGGGGTTTGATAAGTGCTAAACTCCCTCGGATTTCACGGATGTGGGGCCTGGAGCTGCGAGTCCGAGTTGCCTTTTTGCTGCAACAAAAAGTGGATAATTTTGTATCATTTTATTTTTTTTCTTTTTTTAATGCATTTTAAGGTGAGGGAGGAACCGGAAAAGGGGAGAGGGAAGGGGGATGGAGGCCGGGGGAGGGGGCTGAGGGTTGATCCCTCCAGGTGGGGAAGGAAACAGGGGGGAAAAACACTTATTAAAAACGGCACCCCGGGAATGGATGCAATTCCTGCAATTCCTGCAATTCCTACGATTCCTGTTGGGCTCTGGCTGGCCCTGAACCCGAGATCCCAACCCATCCCACAGGGAGCTTGGGGACCTCCAGGCCAAAAAAAAAAACCCTCCTCCCACCAGCCCAAGTCTTGTCCCGGTTGATTCTTTAATTTCCAACGAGCTTGGGAATCGCCTCCGGGTGCTTGTTCCTCACCCAGTCGGAAAACCGGGATCTAACTGGGCATCCTGGGGCCATCCCTACGATCCAACTGGCACCCAGGAACCTGGGGGCTCTGAAAAGAGAGGGACACCCAAATTTCCAGCTGGGCCGAGGGAGCTGCCGGGAAGCTCCGTGTGGAGACACCTTCGTTATCCCTATGGAAAAGCGTTATGGAGCCAGGTGGAAATTCCCCTCCTTGCTCCAAAAACCCTAAAATCCTTTTTTTTTCCCCCCTTCAAACAGCCCCTTGATCCATCTCGGTACAACGGGATCGTCCTCCCCGCAGATCCCAAGGAGAGGAATTCCTGGAACTGCTCCCGAAAATCACACGAATGCACCGAAATCGCCCTTTTATTTTGGTTTTTCTTATTTTTTGTTGTTTTTTTTCCCCCCAATAAAACAATTCCCAGCTGAGTTGGGGGGGTGGGGGGGCAGGGAGGGGACCCAAGTGACGGGGGCCAGTCGCAAGGATATCGTAGAAACAGTAAACTAATTTATTAATCCTTTTTGCTATGTACAAGTTTAATGGAGAAATCGTTGTATGAAACAATTAAAAAGAACAAGAGCTCGGAATTATCCTCTTTTTTGTTGGTTTGGTTTTTTTTTCCTGGTTTGTTTTGTTGTTTGTTTTTTGTTTTTTTCCAGAGGGATTATTATATTTTTGGGGGTTTTTTTTATACAAACGGCGAAGGAGGGTGAGACCCCCAAGGCGGGGTCGCTCCCGGGATTAGGTTTGGAATTTTTTTGGGGGGGGAGAGCGAATTTTAGGCAAGAGGGAATCGGTCCCCCCCCCCTCTGGGAGCGACGAGGGAAAAAAATCCCACATTCCCGGCGCGGGGATTGGGATCCGCGGGACGGAGGGGGAGGGGAACACGAGCCAAGAAATCAACCCCGGAGGTTCCGTGAAATTCCAAGGGAAACGCTCGGAAAAACGGGAAAAACGCGGGGAGAAAAGGGGTGTGGGGGGAAGAAATTAAAGGATTAGGATCAGGGTTAGGAGAAATAAGGAATTCCAGGCGGTTTTGGGCGCTGGGTGGGGGTCGTTCTCCACCGTGGGGATGGAGCCACAGCGGGACGTGACTCAGCACCCCAAAAAGTTGGGAATAAATCCCATGGGAGGCCAAAAGCCAGTGCTGGGAAGGCACTGGGAATGAGAGTAGGGGGCTGATTTCCTGCTGAATCCAAGGTGGTGTTTCCTCAATTAAACCAAAACTAAATAAAAAAACCCGAAATAATCCAATTTTTTTCGGGGCGGGGCGGCGAAAATCCCGTTTTTTTTCCCCTCATTATGTTCCAATTCCCGCCCATTCCCGACCCCCGGCGGGTTCCTCCCTCCCTCCCTCCCCTCCCCGTGGAATCTCGCTCCCGTCGCCGGCGGAGGCCGAAAATTCGTCGGGTCCTGGTTTAAATGTGGCTTTAGTGGGTGAAGAGCAAAGTGATTTTCGGGACGCGTGCGAGTCGGAAGCGCTTTGGGGTCCGGCAGAGAGAGAGGATGGAGCTGCTGGTGGGGTGGACGGGAGGTTAATTTTGCCTGTGCCGGGCGGAAGGTGGTGCTGGGATGCGGTGCCGGAACGCTAGGAAAACATAAAAAAAAAATAAAAAAAAAATAAAAAAATAGAGGAAAGGAAGGGGAAAAAAAAAACCACCCCAAAAAACGGGGGGAAAAAATAAAAAAGGGAAAATAAAGAGGGGAAAAAAATGGAAAATTTAAAAATAAATTAATTAATTAATAAAAAAATAAAAAAGAAGGGGAAAAAAAGCAAAAAAAAGCAGCTGAGCCGAGAAGGGAGGGAGCGAGAGGCTCCTTCCCAAGGGGGGGTGTGGGTGCATCCCGAAATTTAAGGGGGATGACGCCCAAGGAGGGGGGAAAAAAAGGGAAAAGAACAAAAAAAAAAAGGGAAAAAAATTTAAAATCCCCCCAAATTTGTGAATTTGGGGGGGGGTAAGGAAGGGGGGGTCTCGGCAGCTGCGGGGGGAGAGCGGGAGGGCTCCGAACATCCCGGCCCGGAGCCGGCGGAGGAAGGGACACGGTGATCCCTGGGAATGGCAGCGTGGGATTAACCTGCTGCTCAGTGTGGGAATGTGGAACTGGAGCGTTTTGGGGAGGAATTGTTTAATTTCTAAAGGGAAATGGTTCTACTTCCTGTTATTTTATTTTATTTCATTTTATTTTATTTCATTTTATTTTATTTTTTATTTTTATTTTATTATTTTATTTTATTTGCTTTATTTTTAATTTAATTTTAATGTCATTTAATGTCATTTAATTTTAAAGTTACTTAATTTACTTTTAAATTCATTTATTTTTATTTTATTCTTTCATTTTCTTTTAATTCATTTCCTTTTAATTTATTTTAAACACTTTAATTTTTTTATTCTTTTTTAAAGAGCTTTAAATTTTTCATTTCTTTTAAATATTCTTAACCTCTTTCTATTTCTTCCAAATATTTTTAATTTCTTCCATTTTTACGCACTTAAATTCCATTTTTTTACCTCTTTACATTTTCCTCTCCACTTACCTCATCCTTTATTTCAACTTCATTTTAAAAATCCTAATTTTAATTTCCGTTCATTTCAAACTTTTTCCGCTTCCGGTTCCACTTTGAAATTTCTCACAAAAATTTTAATTTTTTTTTTAATTTATTTATTTTTTTTTTTTACATTTTCCTGATTCATTTTATTTTTCCTCCTGTTTTTTTCGGGGTAAGAACTAAACCATCCTTCAAATACAAGTGGCCTCGAGGCCAAACCTCCTCCCTGGACCCCAAAGGACCTTCCCCCGCGATGCCGACGGCTGTGTCACCATCCCTCCCCGGTCTCCAATTTTTCGTTTCCACTCAAATTCCCAATTTTTTTTCCGGTTTGTTGGTTTTTTTATTATTATTATTATTAATATTATTATTATTTTGGCCCCCTTTTTTCTTTTCTTTTTTTTTTTTTATTGTTAAATTGCCCCTATGGAATGTGGCGGAGAGAGAGAAGGGGGGGAAGGGGGTGGAGGGTTGACTTTTGTGTGGCCCTGGCGGACGCCGCGGGGTCTCCGTTAGATCTCGTTGTGCTCTCCGATGCCGCCGCCCAAGTCGTACTCACTGGAGCGCGGCGACATTCCCAGGTACTGCTTCAGGAACTCGCTAAACCTCTTCTGGTTGTTCCACTTCCTCGCCGACTTGCGGACCCCGATGAAGCCCCCGTACCGCTTCTGCACCCCCTTGGCCGCCGGCGCCGCTCGCCAGCCCAGCCCGAGCCGGCGGGAAATGTCCTCGGGAGGCTGCGGGAAGGCTCCCGGTGCGGCTCCGTCGGCGTCGCGGCGCCGCGGGGGGTTCTCCGGCGCCAGGCCGGGCCACGGCTCGGCGGCGAGGTCGCGGGCGCGCGGGGACGCCCGGCTGGCGGCGGCGCACAGCTCCCAGGTGGCCCGCGGCACGGCTTCGCCCTCGCACTCCAGGATGCAGATCTGGGATGGGGGGAGAGACAAGGGGATGGGCGTCAGGTGGGGGTTTGGAGTTCCCGGGAATGTGGGATGCTCAGCGGTGTCCCCCAAATTGTGGAATTGTAGGATGGGTTGAGAGGGATGGGTTGGGTTGGGTTGGGAGGGTTGGGATGGATTCAGCTGGGATGGTTGGGTTGGGATGGGTTGGGAGGGTTAGGTTGGGCTGGGATGGGTTAGGTTGGAAGGGTTGGATTGGGAGGGAGTGGGTTGGGAAGGTTGGGTTGGGAGGGTTGGGTTGGGTTGAGTTGGGTTGGGTTGGGTTGGGAGGGTTGGGATGGATTCAGCTGGGAGGGTTGGGTTGGGATGGATTGGGTTGGGAGGGTTGGGATGGTTGGATTGAGTTGGGTTGGGTTGGGATGGGTTGGATTGGATAGGGAGAGTTGCGATGGGTTTGGGTTGGATTGGGAGGGTTGGGATGGATTCAGCTGGGAGGGTTGGGTTGGGTTGGGATGGGTTGGATTGGGATGGGTTGAGTTGGGAGGGTTGGCATGGTTGGAGTGGGTTGGGTTGGGTTGGGTTATAATGAGTTTGGTTAGGTTGGGAGTGTTGGGATGGGTTGGATGGGTTGGG